AGCTGAAAACCGAAAACTGGAAGCCACGGCAATGAAGATGGTCGTGGAATGATCTTGTGTCAAATGCAATAGTAAAAAAGGGATTAGAGGTTTATTTATTGAAATAAATAAAGGTTTATTTGCTGAAATGACCGATGGGTTGTAAGATGGTAAGGTCATTGCCAAGAAATAGACAGTAGCTGCCTTGCGAGGCGAATAATGAACACAAAACCTGATTGCCGCCGGAGACCTCCAACAAAATGGAATAGTTTCGTTAGAATTGACATGACATCGAAAGGTTGGAAGCATGAACACTCATTTACTCAGTCCAGGAGGTGAAATGCTTGTGCGCCCCAGGCGTCGTCTTCCATACAATGGGATAAGAGGAAGAAGAGTAAATATATGCAATAGGACTTGGATTAATGATCAGAGATGTAGTGTGTTCGACGAACTTTACGTTTTATCAGAACCCTCCTAATTTTTTCGTACACGAAATCTTGATTTCTCTTGAAGAATTCCACTTCTATGTCTTTATTTTTCCCACTGCGCTTTTATAATAGCGAACCAGCGAATACTGAGTTAATTGACTGTTTATCCCTAACGAATTTTCTGTTGGAGGCACTGCTGCATAGGAGTGCATAGTCGATTGTGCATGTCAGAAATGTTCGGTTCAACTGTAAGTGGGTAGCAAAATTTACCTATGAGCTGTCGGTTTCTCGTTGGGCAAGGAGTTCGTTTCGTTGTGGTTCGAAGCAACCTGCAACGAAACGGATGCCGAATGGATGGCCTAGAGCATTAGGGTAATATGGTGTCTGATGTCATGGTAGTGGAGTCGTAAAACTTGTTGTTTCTGCATTCGCTCTAGCTGCATTACCCACTGATCCACGCGATATCTGTTGTTTTCTATGCATAAGGTAGTCCGATAACTTGCTTGGCGTTATCCATACGAGACGAACTATATAAGAACCTGTAGCAGGACGAACTACTGGCACTTTTCACGCATGAAGATTTCTTGTTTGTTGCACTCGTTGCAAGATTCTCGGATGGTTACGCTGTAGTATAGGTAGATGAATTCGTTGCTCAAAGGGGCTCCAAGTTAATGGGATAAAACGTCATGCCTGAAGTCGAACCCGTCACCTTAAACATGGACTGCCGACGAGTGTCATCGTGCTATAGCTGCCCTATGTTGCCTACCGAGAAGGTTTCCTACTGCATACTTTTACAGGCGTTAAATGTAGTTTCGATATTTGCGCAGAAGATGCTTAAACGTTGAAAATTCTGTTTTAGAATGAAAAGCTCCAGATCTCTCGAAGTTCAAATCAATGGCATAATCCGTTTCTTCCCGAAGATTCTCCTCCTGAATGTCCGTACTTTCTAAGAATTGGAACGTGCCGATTTGGATTTAGGTTTGTTTTATGATGTTTTCTTGTTTTGTGCATTCGAAATTGTGGTACATTTTCTAGTTTGGTGAGTATTTCCTTCGTATGTTGGTGGTCATACTGAAAGCAACACAAAGGTTTATTTATACACTACAGTTTATATTTATATACGTTTGGTCAGTCGGACGATTGACCAGTTACTAAATTTATAAATATATCATCCGATTAACCAAACCGTTTGCGTTGTGTATAAATAAACTGTGCTTTATGTTGTTTTTGCTATTTTGTTCAGCTGTTCATTACGTTTAGTAGTTTCTTCCAGTTTCAGAAAGTACCTCTTATTATTATGCCCTCACAATCCGCTTCTTTTTCGGATAGCGGGCTTTAGAAAATATCAAAATTAAATTAAAAACAGTCGTTTGAAAGTTTGAGCGTTTTACTGAATGAATAAAGTCACAAAAAAATCGTGATTTCCAATGCAAATAAAAGAAACAATCGCAGATTATTTATAAAGACGAACGTCAGCTTCTGTTCGGAAATATAACACGAATGTGAAACTGAGGACCGTTATGACGAGAGATTTTCCAGATCTTCAGTATCGAAGCAGCGCAAAAAGAGATATTTTTTTATTTTCTGATATCACTGGTGAAGCATCGACCGGAACTTCTGCTCATCTTGCTCAAGTCTTCATTTTACCTTCAAAGAATAGACTGTATGATGAAAAGATTTCACTATACTTTCGGTGGAGATTAATGCTAACAATAATTTCCAGTGCTTTCATTTGAATTTATACTTGGGGTGTCCATCTCCTGTGCAGAACTGTCTTAAAGGCATCAGATGGTCTGTTAAACCAGGCTACCAGATCCTGATTTGCCGACAGAATTCGTAATAGGTCATCGCGACGGCGTAGACTGGTATTACGGTACTCCATACCACATTACCATAGACTTAGATATTTTTCCGCTTCCTGCGATTGGAGTACCCAGCTTGGGTTGCAGGTGGCGAGTGCAAATGAAATAACTAAAACGTGAGCAAAGAAACGAAATAATCAAAGAAACTATGCGTAAAACTGCCAAAGTCATTGAAGTCGCAGGATCAACAAGGACGCAGACTCTATGATCGGTTAATTAGGAATGTTTTGAAATGATAAATGAACTCGTATGTTGAATGCGTCCAGTTTGCTCATGATCCGGCACGACATCTTTGCAATAATGACGCCCCGCCTAACATTTGAGCTTTGGGCGGACTGTTGCTTCTCGATATTCGGCTGCATGCTTATTTAATGATGGCATGTACTCTTCACATGGTCATCATGATTTACAGTCCTTTGTTAAAGTAAACTTCTCCGGATGTCCAATGGCCGCGTCCTGGTGTGCTGCCATTACACTGCCAGCGACTTCGTACGTCATCAGGTTTTTTCGCTATCTTTTGCGGCTAGCCCACATACTTGAGTGACTTTTCACTATACGCCGCATCCGGTGTTTTGCCTTAATTCGGCAATGAGCCCGAATCGGTCAAAGTAGAAAATGGAGTTGCAAAACAAATACATCACCAGATCAAACGCTTTTGCTCATTCACTTAGGTTCGATGACTGCTTATCGTTTCGAATCGCGGAGGTAGCAGCGTTAGGCAGTACATCCTACGTTGCTGGTCCTACGCCTGCGCCTGAACGTCTACAAAAGATAACCCTAGTCTGGAGAAGAGCCCATCGAGACACTTGCCCTAGGCTATCCCTGGCCATTCCCTGGATCTTCGGTTATTCGGTTGAGCAACTAACATCTATTAAGTCTTCCTTTCTGGAAACATTTGCAAGGCGTATCCAAACTGTCGTAGCTGTGAGCTCTCAGTCTGGCGAAGCAGTAGTTGTACACCAAGGCTCTCAGACATCCGTACACTAGACCATGTTAAGACGTATGAGCCCAGCGACTCGTCTAAGAAAGCCATTTCAACTGCTTTTACCCAGAATCGAAGTTTTTCAGTTATGGTCCACGATCTGACGGCCATAGATTAGCATTGGGATGAAAATCGACCTGAATACCGGCAGCTTCGTCATAGCTGATGGCCTTCCCGATTCGCGATCTTTCATTTTTCATCATCAGTAAGTATCACCCCGAGGTACTTGAACTTCCCCACCTGTTTTGCTGTTTTTCTGTTTATCTGATGAGAGCGATGGGTAGGGAAACGAGAAAGCACTAGGCGTTTCGTTTTAGATACGTTCACACGCATGCCAGCCACGTTGCACTCTGCATACTCATTCTGATAAAAGGTTGGGTTTACAATATTGAATTGATAGCAGTTGCACTGAAATTACCTGATTATTCCAGTTAACCGAAAGCAGTACTAAATGGCTAAAGTAACAAACACCATAGTTATGAATGGTCACCTTAAGCTTTGGTCTTGTCGGATTTGTTTGGAGATAGACCCATACTTGGAACTTTCTTTGCAGCTAATCGAGAAAGTTCTTGCAAAGAAACAAGCACATAGGTTCTGCACCAGATGAAACTGGATTTAACAAGTGAACTGACGGTGGATGGCCGAAAGTTTTGATGTTCAGGTCGCTGTATGGTCGTGAAGAGGATGTTCTCGCCTAGCTTGAGAGCACCTTGTATGGCTGAACCTGATTAAGTAGTGAGTTGCAATCATATTCACCACGGTGTGCTATGAGCTTTTGCAGTTACCTACGGAATGGAGCGATTAGTCGCAGCCAGTTTGGCTGGACCGTTTCGGCTCCGATCGGTAGTCACTGTCAACGCTTGATCCCTGGCGCGAGTTTGATACACATCATTGGTCTGTGGTCACGTCGTTGGTCAATTGTTGCATCCAACCCACCATATTGCATATCTCTGTAAAGCTCTCCGTGAGCATAATGCGGAACTTTTGTCAAACTACTGAATTTCTAAGATTTCGCGTTAATGTCTGTTGTATGATACCATTTTTCTGCCTGCGAGAGGTTAATAATTCAGTGAGCATTGACAGCAGGTCGCGAGTTTGACTGTATTTTTTTAGCAGATGTTTGCCTCTGAATCGTTTCCGAGTTTTTCATCATTTACGTATTAATGAATAGCTATCAGTAAATATAACATTAAAAGTCAGTTAAATTAGTGACTTTCGAGAATAAGTTTTGTATTTGTCGGCCCGATTACGCTAGTTCATTAATTTTTCTTCAGGTAGTTAGGTTAGCCAATATGTTCTATACAGTTTCGTTAGCCTAACACTCTGGCCTTTGCGATATATAATATCATTTTACATATCAGTAGAAAGCTCACAAGAATACACTGTGAAGCCACTATCAGATTTATGAATTTTTAAATATCTGTTTTCATTTCAGATCAACAACGTCGAATCGTCATAGATCATAGTTGCTTATACGGTTATATTGACAGTTTCTCCTCTTAATGAACATAAAGTCTGCCAACGTTGTAAGAGGTTGCATTCGGCCTTGCCATTTTTAGGCGTCTTTTCGTTGTAACTTTCTGTGCTAATTGAGTTTCCTTCATAGAAGTACTTTACTATCAGCTTATTCCCTATGCGGTTAGATATCATTCAGTCTCCAATGCGTGATCGCTTTCAACGTTTTGTTGTACGGAAATAACCGTGTCCATCTGTCTGAATCAAGGTTTTGTATAAAGTATGACATTCACGCAATATTCCTAGTTTTAACTTCTTTATTTTTCAGCTGTTCAGTTAATTTAAAAAATATTTCTGGACTTATTTTCATTCGTTTT